CGTATTTAGGGAATTCGCAGTGCGCGCCCTGCGGGACAGGCAGGTCACCAAATGCGCGACGCCACCTTGCGCGGCGCGGTGAGGCAGGCTTCGCTCTGCTTGTCTACCGTTTAGGAAACCGAGATCCAGAGAAGACGGTGACTGGGCACAGTGGCCAAGACAGATTCATGTATCCAGTTGACAGATCTTAACTGGGTGTATATTATGTGCCTGAAACGATTCTAGTTCTAGGGATACAAAGATGAAAGGCTCTGGAGCGATTTGAAGTCTAGTGACGGATGGGGTGAGGGGACGGGGTAAAACGGTCCAATGCAGAATGCAGCAGCCAGGGTGTAGAAGGGTGGACGGATATGAGAAGTCACGCTCCCTGGCTTGTACAGGGAGTCAGAGTATTCACAGCTGACGCCCCCTCCAGAAACGCCAGGTACCCAAAAACAGTCACCTGGTAAATACTTGTTGAATGTCAAGTATGTAAAAGGTGTGTGCCAGCTGGAAGTGCTAAATAGGAGGAAAGGAGAGGGACTGGAGAGGAGTTTCAGGTAGAAGGAAGGACAACACCAGAGATGGACAGACGCAGGCCCAGGATCCAAAAGTGAAGTCTGAAGGTGGTGAGGATGAAGAAGACAGCGGGGGAAAAACCATGTGCCACTGCTGTCCTACGCCAGCATGTACTACTAACAGCAGTAACTCATCCCTACAACAACCCTGTTACGCCCGGTATTATTATCTTCATATTATAGAGTAAAAAATAAATGTATGGAGAATAATTTGTCCAGTATCACACAGCTAAGCAACTGGTGATCATTACTCTGGTTTCACAGTCCGTGTTCTCGGGCCTATGCTAAGGAATTTGAATTGTGTCCTATAGATAACGGAGAACTACTGAAGCAATATTTCTCACCACAAAACACTAAAACCTTGAAATGCCCTGTGATAAAAGAATTCCCCATGACCAAATAAGTTTGGGAAACTACTTATGGCTGTATTGCGCTCTTGGAGAATCAGGATATTCGAGGGGGATCCCAAAACAGTCAGAATTTGTTTATAAAACAGTATATTTATTCTTACATGTTTAAACTTCAGTCACCTTCGAAGTACTCTCCATTTGATGGAATACACCTATCAAGATGCTTTTTCCACTGCTCAAAATAGTTTTTTAACTCGTCGATTCTGATGCCTTTTAAAGTGCTTCTGCCATTTTTTTGTTTCACCTCTTCCACATTGGCAAAACGTTTCCCTTTGGGGACTTTTTTTCATCAAGGAAACAAAAAAAGTCACTAGGGTGAAATGGGGTAAATAGGGAGGGTGGTTCATGCTGGTCTTGGTGAAAAACTGCTGAACACTCAGTGTGCTGTGGGCAGGTATGCCTGTAAATCATCCATCACGAAATAGGCAAACGTATTGAAATAATCTCCCCCCGCAAAATTCACTCAAGCTGAACGCAGCCTCCCACAACAACGCTAGCAGGTACACTGGTGCCAATGGGTTCCTAGAACACTTACCTAGCAGGGGAAGCATATACTACAAGGGGCTCGCCCTCCAAAAAATAATTCTGGGCTTTTTGGGGTCCCCCACACACATTAGAACATGAAAGACTCTGAGAAATCCTGAAGGAAAAAAAAATATGTTAGCTGTGTTCAGATTCTTTGTTCCAAGCCTGTGCCATCATAGAACATAACATGTTATGTTATATAACATATAACATCCCATAACACCATTCATATCTCATGGAACCAGGGTCACAAATAATATGTTTTTGGAATGGCTGCATAGGAAGGGAGTATGGCATGATTAAAATTGTTAGTGTATTCTGGTGGTAGTGTGAAATGGAGAGGCAGGACTAGAGGTAATTGTAGTAATGGCTTCAGACACCCAGGAGAGGCAGCTGGTACAAGGAATAGATAGGAGAAATATTGAGGAGTTAGAATCCACAGGATTTTGTATCTGATTAGTGAGACAGGGAGGAGTTGAGATTTCTGGCGGGAGCACTGGTTAAGCCAGTGGGCCTGCTGACCAAGGCAGGGACTGTAGGACACTTCATATTAAGAGGAAGATGATAACTTCAGTCCTGGGCATTTTGAGTTGGGAATGCCTCTGGCACATCCAAGGGAAGATTCCCACTAGGTAATTGAATGCGTTGTTCTGGAGCTCAAGAGCAAATTGGGAACACATCCATATATAGAGAGGACAGTTGAGACCATGGGTGTGGAAGCAGAGGCCTCCGCAAACTCTAAACCTGGAAGGAAAGCGCCAAGGGTGAATTCCTGGGGAGCAGCACTGCTGTGGCAAGAGTACCAAAATGGTGCTGTCTTCTGCACGTGTTTATTTTTCTAATAGGTTTAAAACCTGGGAGATTTCAGATTAAATTCTTGGAAAATTGGAAAATGGCATCATTGAGCTCACATTTTACCTGGGGAGAGTGGGCCAGGCTCAGGAGGTGGTCACATCCTTTGGACCCAGTGTGTACTCCAGTTTCCACCTGTCTCTCACTCCACAAAGTAGTTATGTGGACAGCCAAGCTGAAGTAGGGAAAATAATTCACATTAAAGGAGACAGAGGCAGGCCTGGCCCAGCCAGAGAGGTGGTAGAAAGCCTCTCTGCTGATAAGCAGTCCAGCTTTGTCCAGCTCTGTTCTCCTCTCCAGGGCACAGCAGGTAACAAAGCAGCATAACAATGGCATCAGGGCACTGTGTGGGGCATGGACTGCAGACTAATTAGTAAAATGTAGAGTACATTAGCTGATGAAAGGTAATAAGAAGAAAAAAAGGGGGGATGGGATGGTGAAGGGATGCAATTTTAGAGAAGATGGCCAAAACAGCCCTCACTGTGTTCGTTTCTTAGGCTACTGTAACAAATTACCATGAACTTGGTTATTTAACACATATTTCTTCCCTTACAGTACCAGAGGTCAGAAGTCCAAAATTCATTTTACAGGGCTGAAATAAAGGTGTGAGCAGGGCCATGCTCCCTCTTGAGGCTCCTGGGTTCTAGAGAATCTGTTTACTTGCTTTTTTCAGTTTCTAGAGCTGGAAACTTGCGTTTCTTAGCTTCCTCCATTTCATAGCCAGCATTGACTTGCTTCAGTGGTCACATTTCTGCAATCTGTGTCAAATCTCCCTCTGCCTCCCTATATAAGGATAGGTGTGATTGCATTTAGGCCTACACAGAATAATCTCCCCAACTCAAGATCCTTAACTTAATCATATCTGCAAATTTTGTCTTACCATATAGGTAAGAGGAACATTCACAGGTTCCTGAGATTAGGATCTTATTTTCAGCCATTACTCAGCCAACCACAATCACTGAGAAGGTAACTGTTGCAGAAAGAACAATGGAAGGAGGGAGCAAACCACATGGCTCTTGGGGAAGGTATGTGGAGGTGGAGCAAGCCTAGTGTGGTTTCAGAACAAGGGACTGGGACACAATGAGTAAGGAGAATATGCTGGAGGGGCCCAAGGATGACCCCAAGGTTTCTGGCCTGAACAGCTGGAAGAATGAAATTGCCATTAGACTGGGAGAGGGAAGACTGTGGAGGAACAAGTTTGAGAAAAAGTCACTAGCTCAGTCTTCAACAGGGAAAATGTGAGATGCCTTATAGACATCTAAGTGGAGACATCAAGTGGGCGGATGAATCTGGAGTTCAGAAAAGAGACCCAAGCTGGAAGGATAAATGTGGAAGTCATTAGCATAGAAGGAATTCAAGGCCATGAGACCGGGGGAGATCATTAAGGAAGTGAGTGTGGAGAAAAATGGAACGCGTCCAAGGCCTGAACTCTGGGCCTTTCAGGGTTCAGAGTGAAGCAAATAAAAAATACAAAAAGGCTAGGAGCAACTAGTGCACTAGGAAGAAAACTGAGAGTGGTATCATGGAAACCTAGGAAGAATGTGTTTCCAAGGAGGAGGAAGTGAACAGGATGCTGCTGCTGACAGGTGAGGTATGGTGAGGACTGAACTGAGAACTGAGGAGGGGTGGCCTGAGGGGATGGTTGGCCAGGTAGGGGGCATTAGTGAGCTGGGAAACTGGTTGGTGGAGTCAAGGGCAAAAGCTGATTGCAGGAGGTTCCAGAAAGAATGGGAGAAGAGAAACTGGAAGAGTGGGTATAGTCAGCTGAAGGGAAGGAGAAAGGTAGGGTCAGGATGAGGAGAAGGAAGAGGGACAAGAGGTTTAGGTCTTGTCATGTGATATGGGAGAAATGTGCTATGGATAAGATGAAAATATGCTATTAGGGAATGGATAGGATCTAACGGGGAGGGCAGTTTTGATAACGCAGAGGAGAGAAGGAAGAGCTGCTGGTGATGTCCTTGAGTATTTGGGAGGGACTGAGATTGGTGCACAGGAGACTGATTGGCCTTTGCTAAGAGCATGTCTAGGAGTTTATCAATGACACCAAGAGAGAAGCCAGAATAATGTGCCAGAGCCAGAAAGGAGAGAGGTGAATGATTTCCTTCCTTGCTCTAACCACAGTTCCCTCTGCTTCTCTAGCACAGTCCAAAGGTCACCAATGGTTTCAGGCCATCCTAAGAAGGTGGGTAGCCCACAGCCTATACTCCCCACCCTAGGTGAGGCCCTCTGTCATGGCACACCAGGAAAAGAGGAGAGGGTCAGGAGAATGAAAATGTCTACATTCATTTATTTATTCATTTACTTATTCATTCATTCAGTACTAAGGGCTTACTTTGTGCCTGGCACTGTGCTAGCCATAGTGGATAAGTTGTAAGAAAGGATAGATGTTGCCTTGGCATCACTAAATTTGCAGTCCAGAGGCAGATGGAAACAGCCCCAGCAATACAGTGTGATACCAATTTCAGTGGGGAGGGAGGCAGAGAAAGGCCTAGCTGGGGCCTCGGGCCTCAGAGAAGACTACCCAGGGGAATCGACAGGAAGAAACACAAGTTATCCAGAAGAAGAAGGAGGGAAAGAGTTCTGGAGGGGGGAGGAAAGAAAGAAAGATTGATTGTTTGTGGTTCATTCAAATAAAAGAATTCAGTTTATTTTCCAGGAGCTCAAACCTGGAAATGGAGCAAGACCGGGGCCAGGATGGAGAGGTCAGCACACCAGTAGGGCAGGGACAGGTCTGTACTTTATCTCAGAGTCTTGGAGAGCCACTGAAGCAGCTTGCAATCAAGGAGTGACATCATTGAAAAGATGGAAAATGGAGGTGGCAAAGCTGGAGCCACTAGAAGTCAGTTAGGAGCTGGGTAGGGATCCAGATGAGAAATGACATCAGAACCAGAGAGGGACAAGGGCCCCAAGAGAAGTGGGTGGATTTGGGTGGAGATGTGGGGCCTTGATGCATGGGAGACTACATAGGGTGAGGGAGGGAAAAGGGTCATACTGGCTGAAGACAGCCCAGGACTTGCCACTTTTGAAGAATGGGCAAATGGGAAAAGGAGCCAGAGAAAGAACCGTTAGAGGAAACTCAGGCAGGCAGGGAGTCCTGGAAGCCAAAGAAGAGTTTGACTCGCCCAAGGAGGGTGTGGCTCACAGTGTTCCATGCTGCTAGAGGGAGGTGCTAGGAGGTCTGAGAAGTGAGGATACAGCTGGAAAGCTGGGACTTGCAGATGCAGCAGCCTGATTGGGGGCGGGGGGGCAAGGAATGTGTTGGAGATAAGGAAACGAAGCCAGCAAATGTAAATCAGGAGGAGAGAACGCGAAAGTGAGCGAGCCAGAGCATAAGAGGTTGAAGAGTTTCAGGCATGAAAAATCTTAAATATGCTGAGAAAGATGGAGTGATAGAGGGACTAGGAAATATGGGACAGACGGAGGTCCTGAGAAAGCAAAGGGGCAGGATACAAACCACAAGTAAGGGGGGAGAAAAAGAAGCACGGAGGTAACCTCAGAGCTTGAAGAAATTAAAAAGAGAAGGCGATGGCGGGAGAAAGCCTGTGTTCCCAGGAGCATTCACGTTGGAAAGCTTTGAGTTTGGATATTTTTCTTCTTTTTTCTCTCTTTCCTTGTCCCTGTCTCTCTTTTCTGGTACTTGGAGGGCGCAAAGCAGGGAACGTCCTGGAAAGTAAAGCCCACCTGAAGCCCGTGGCTTCTCCTTTCTCCCCTCTGCGGCCACTAGATGGCAACCTTGACTTAGAGCCGTTCTCACCGTCCCTTTCGACGTCCGTTTTGACTTCACGATACTCCAAATTTTTGAGATCTGGCCGACCATTGAGATCAACCCTTCTCCTTCCTCCCCGACCTTCCCCCTCGGATGTTTTAATTTCAAATTTGAATTTTGGGCGGGGAGCAGAACAGGAAGAAATTTTGCACTCAAGTGTCTGCCGACACCTAACTGTTGACAGAGTCCCCAGAGCAACCCAAAGAAACCTTAAACCTTCTCTCCGACCCTCCATCAAGACAGCGGACAGGAGAAAGAGAAGCCAGAAAAGGGGCTGTCCAAGAAATAGGAGACGACCAGGACAGGAGAGAGAGGCAGGAGCCAGGGGAGGGAAAGTTTCCAAAAAGGACAACGTGGAAACTGTAGAGAAGCCGGCTGAGAAGGGACGGGGGGGGGGGG